TTTTCTTGTGTGATAATTGTGATTGGATTGTCGCAGGCAAAGAATCTTAACTAGCCCAAGATGCTCCTGAATTAGCAGACTGGAAGCTGCGCAACAAGCAAGCCCTATCTACAATAGGTATGGAAGCTGCACAACAAGCGAGCCCTATCTACAATAGGTATTGGTCTAGGCGAGCAGTACATTCATCTTCTTGATCTTAATAACATGCTCCCACAAATTGGACCAATCTGACCCAGTTTCTTGGTGCTTAAATGGTTGAACATGTGGTCACGTTCAAGGGTGAGTTCTCCACTTTAAAGATGGATCCCTAATTGCCTGTCCAGAAATTTATCAATGACACTCTCTACTATGAGAAGCACCTTCAAGACACAAAGCAGCCTTTGACTAATGTGGACAAGTGAGCAGCTCTGATCAATGGCATTCTTGATATCGAGGAGTATGAGAGTCTTCGCACAATGTTTCAGAATCTTCAAGGCCAGCTCACTTTTGGATTTAGTCTTGGTCTTCAATTTCTGCTGTTGGCGTTCTTCTTCCTTGAGAGATGAGCACATTGCTTCAAAAGTGAGCTGGCCTTGAAGATTCTGAAATGTTGTGTGAAGACTCTTATACTCCTTGATATCAAGAATGCGATTGATCAGGGCTGCTTGCTTGTCCACAGTAGTCAGAGGCTGCTTTGCGTCTTGAAGGCGCTTCTCATAGTAGAGAATGTCTTTGATAAATTTCTTGACAGACAATTGGGGATCCACCTTTAAAGTGAAGAACTCACCTTTCAACGTGACCATACGTTCAATCATTTGAGCACCAAGAAACTGGGTTAGATTGGTCCAATTTGTGGAAGCATTATTATCAAGATCAAGAAGATGAATGTACTATTTGCCTAGATTAATATCCATTGTAGATAGGGCTCGCTTCCAATCTGCTAATTCGGGAGCACCTTGGGCTGGTTCAGGTTCTTTGCCTGTGACAATCCCATCGCAATTATCACACAAGAAAACAACCTTCAGGAGGGCAGCCCAATTTGCAAAATCTTCCTTGTACAAAGGATTAAACGCTGCTCCAAAACACTAGCAGCAGTACTACTGCTCGCCATGTTCCGCCGTACTCTGTGTAGTCGGCAGTTGTTGATCAGTAAGCACAAGTCTCTCCTAGCATGGTGAACCATCAGGATCTACAATCTGATGATAATGATCTGAGGAGACGCTAATAAGAGAGAAAATAGGATGGCCGTGGCCACCTAACTACCCTGTGCCACGTGGCAGAAGCCTACTCCTACTCTGTAGTCTGATTATTAGTCAATTTTATGGAGATCAACGAGGCATTATTTTTTCTCTTGATGGGGTCAAGGCAATGCACGGTAGCAGGTATGCTGATATTTACAAGCTTGATGCTATTTTAGTGCCTCCTCCTCGTATATTTATGGCCAAGGAATCTAAGATGCAACTCTGGCATCGACGCTTTGGCCATGTGCATCAGCATTGTTAAGCAGTAGCTTGTTGCAGCTTGTGACCTGGATATAGTGGAGCCTTTGGATTTTTGTGAGCCGTGTATTCAAGGCAAGCTTCATCGTGCACCATTTCCGAAGAATTCTCATGAACGAGCAGCTGATCTCCTTGGACTAGTTCACTCTGATGTTGGTTCTATGCCAATTGCTTCTCTTGGTGGCAACACATATTTTGTCACATTTATAGACGAGTGGAAGTGAGAGTTATGTCTCGTAAAAGTGAAGTGTTTTCCCTCTTCGTGGATTTTCAGCAGACTGGCAAATCCCTCAAAATCCTGAGGTCTGATAATGGCGGTGAGTATGTTTCCAAGAAATTTCAAAACTATTGTGGAATTGTTCAGCAATTCACCGTTCCAGGGACGCCATAGCAGAATGGAGCAGCAGAACGCATGAACCGCACGTTGGTCGAGTCTACTCGTGCAATACTCCTTGGCGCTGGTTGTCCAAAATCTTTTTGGGGAGAGGCTATTGTTACCGCTCCTTATCTTTACAATCGTCTTCCAACATCTACTCTTTCTAATATCACTCCAGAAGAATTATGGACTGGAAAGAAGCCATCCGTTGCACACTTTCGAGTATTCGGTTGCTTGCTTAGCTTATGCCAAGAACCTTGCTCGATTGCCGAAGCTTGCGACTGGCAGTTTTTTCCAGCACGTGATGTGAAGGTTTTTGAAGATATCTTTCCATGTAAAGAGACTTCCACTCCAACTCCTTCAACTTGGCGACTTGTGGAAGAAGTTCCGGTGCTTCCAGCTTCAGTGGGAGCTCCACCAGCAGCTCAACAACCTCCTCCACCACCACTCAATCCTCCACCGCGTCTTCATCCGCAGTCGCTTCCACCGGAGCAAACATCAACCCCACCCTTACCGCCACCTGAGTCACCAGAGCTAGATCTCGTCCCAGAAGTTGAGCGGCCTGGTTCTCAGAGTGACCCTGTCGGCTATTCTCGTTCTGCCCGGCCACTTTTTCCATCTCAACGAGCTCGGGATGCTGCCGAGAGTCAACACTTTTTCAGGTCGCGGTCAAGTCGTTTTTATTTTGCTGGTTCTAACGATGTTCCTGAGCCAAGAACGGTGACTGAAGCGCTCACAGGTCCTCATGCTGTGGAGTGGCGAGCTGCTATGGATTCTGAGTATCTCTCGCTTCAAAAGAACGGGACGCTCGTTTCAAAGCCAGTTGACCGCCAGGTGGTCTCAACAAAATGGCTATTTCGAGTTAAGAGGAATGCAGCCAATCAGGTCGTTCGGTTTAAAGCGAGGTATGTGACTCGTGGATTTACACAAATCCCAGGCCTTGATTTTACCGAGATTTACTCACCTGTGGTACGCATGGCCTCTATTCGAGCTTTGCTAGCTTTAGCAGCTCAATATGATCTCGAGGTGCATCAAATGGATGTTCGTACAGCATTTTTGCATGGAGATCTTACTGAAGAAATTTTCATCCAGCAACCAGAGGGTTATCAGAAGCAGCCCGGGATGGTTTGTCGCCTCAAGAAAGCTTTATATGGTCTTAAACAGTCTCCTAAAGCTTGGTTCGACAAAATGGACCAATTTCTCATTTTTATTGGATTTTCAGCTGATCAGAACGTGTACCAGAAACATGTTGAAAAGATGATGGTCCTTATTGCGTTATATGTCGACGATTTGATCTTACTAGCAAATTGTCTTTCTTTTCTACATAAGATCAAAGAGCAGCTCTCTTCTCAATTTGAGATGGACGATCTTGGAGATATTAAGTTTTGTCTTGGTCTTAATATTATTCGAGAACGGTCCCGTGGAACTATTCATCTTTCTCAGCAGCGCTATGTGGACGAAATTCTCAAACGCTTTAATATGCACGACAGTACTCCAGTTTCCACACCTATGGAGCTTAATCTTCAGCTTTCTAAACCTCAGTCTCCAACCACTGAAGCTGAGAGCAATTCCATGGAGAGGATTCCGTATTGTGCAGCTGTTGGTAGTCTGATTTATCTTGTTATTTGTACCCGCCCAGATTTTTCGCATGCAGTGGGAGTCGTGGCGAAATTTTCTGAAAATCCCGGATTAGCTCACTGGGCAGCGGATAAGCGCATCTTTTGTTACTTGAAAGGTACCAAATCCTTGGCGCTTACATCAGATGAGCAATTCCACTTGCGCGGCTACTGCGACTCAGATTGGGCTGGTGACAAAGACACCCGCAAATCTACATCCGCCTTCTCGGTGCCTCAACTTTGACTTAGAGGAGCAAGAAACAGAGCATCACAGCTCTGTCGTCTATTTCTGCGTGCTCAGCGTGCAAAGAGGCTGTCTGGATTCGCTTATTGCTCACAGAGCTTGGACATTTTCTTGTTCAGCCCACGATGTTGTTTTGTGACAACATTAGCGCAATTGCTCTTTCAGCTACATCAAAGTTTCATGACAGAACTAAGCACATTCAGCTCCGTTATCACTATGTCCGAGAGCAGGTCCAGCAGGGCATTATTGTCCTCCAATTTTGCTCTACCACCGAGCAGCTTGCTGATATGCTGACCAAGTCTCTTCCACAGGATAAATTTGCTCTCAATTGCAACCGTTTACAGTTGCAGGAGAAACAGGAGCGGTCGTGAGGTGCTGGCGCAGCTATTGCGCACTCGCTCATGAGAGAGTGAGTCTGAGTTACTGCGCCAGAGTGGGAGTGTTAGTCCTAGTGGCTTACGGGGTAGCTAGGTCAGACGCTGGTACCTGTTTTCTCTCTTATTAGCGTCTCCTCAGATCATTATCACTTGTGGTCTTAGTCTTGGACAGGAAAGGTGGTGAAGAATGGAACTAGTTTGCCAAGAGTACCCAAGCATGTAATAAAGAACAACAGCTATGTACTGTACAATGCTAGGTACGCATGGAAACCTTACCTTTCTGACCGTGGGCTTTTGATTCCCAGAACTTGAGCTTGACATGAAAAGAGACTTTTTTGCGGAAAGCTTATTCGGTCGGAGCCAAGTTTGGAGCTGTGGTGCATGCCAACAAGCCGAGCGATCCCAGGAGAATTTGTGCGAGCTGGTTCACTAATGTATCTGTTAAATTCGGAACGTTCTCAAGTAAGAATTATGCACAAAAGTGTTTTTTTTAATCTCCTAGTTTTTTTTTATCAGATTTGGAGGTTCTTTTCAAGAATGGAATGTCGTGGCTAGAGATTGGAAAGAAAAACGAGCAAAGGTGTGTCTGCCGAGTCCTTGACGTTCGGATCCACCACTTGCATCGTGTTCCCTTTCCGGATTTCGCTCATGGCCCAGGCTGGGAAATACCAACTCAGTGGCGACTCCATCTTAGAGCAGTCTAGATTTTTCCTGCCGCCAATGAGCTCCAGGAGCACCATTCCATAGCGTTTCCAGTCTAGTTTGTTCTTGTTGTCGGAGAAAATCCATCTGTCCAAGGAACCATTGGGCATGAGCTCGTAGACGAGCAGCCTGTGTGAAGCATCGGCACAGAAGCCATAGAGTTTGACAATGTTGATGTGGCTTATGTTTCCCAGAGCGTTTAAGGAAACTGTTTAGTTCGTCGAGCATGACCCTCCTTCGATGCAGGATCGTGAAAAGCAACGCAAAAGTTACAATGGCTACAGCAGCTCCTCCAGAGGTAATTCCGATCACTAGGAGCTTTGGAGTGTCTGACGATGAGTTGTCAACAGGCAGCAACCTGGAGTAATTCTGGTACTTCAGAAAGCCGAACAGTTGCTGAGTCTTGTTCGAGTCTACCGTCAAGCTTCCCAGGACGTCTTCTATGAAAAAGCAATTCTGGAGCGCCTGGTCGAAAAAGAACGCCGCACAGGAGCAAGTGGATTTGCATTGCTCGAGGCAATCTTGCATTGCAGCGCCTGTTCTATCGGGAGGGTTGAAAGTGTTGGCGAAGTACGATGCACCTGCGAGTGTTACAAAGTCGGTCTCGTACCTGGAGCTGCAGTTTGCAAGAGAAGACCATTCTGGCTGGGCACAACTTCCAAGTGCTGAGGTAGTAGAGTTGTTTGCTTCGTTGGTCAGGCACTGACACTGCTTTCCTTTCTCGAGCAGCCCATAGCTCCCGCATGGCGCTGGCGGTGGAAAGAACTGACTCGTGCTATCGAGCTCCCAGCTTCCATTTGCCAACTCTCGCCTGTATGAAACCATGGTCCCATCATCGGCAAGCTGGAAATACCTCATTGTGGTGTTCCCTGGGAATATTTCCCCGGACAGTGGAGAGCCACACGGCTGTTCGTTACCACCAACACGAAGAGGTTCGTATACCATGCTCATTTCTCCTGCTGGCGTGAATGAAAGAGCAGTTCGATATCCTGGGCAGGTTACACTGGGCGAGCCAATTTGTGATCCGACGAAGCTCCACAACATGTAAGGCTGCTTTTTCTTGGAACCGATGCTCATGTATCCGACTGATCCACTGGCCTGTATCTCTGCGATATACGAGCCTTCGCTGGGGTCTGAGGCGTTTTTGTTACTCACAACTGACTGTCCAGTTACTAGCTTCTGGTTTGGCATCAGTGCGCTCCATGGGCGATCAAAGGAACTCCATACCGGGGTCTCAGATTCATCGAAGAGCTGCAAGTTCCCGGAATTCTGAATGCCGATATAGGCAACGCTTTCGCTTGGAGACCATGCCACTGTTGAGGTATACGCTCTCTATGACATGATCCTAGGTGGCAGGAGTGCCACTTCATTGATCCAGGTGTAGGCTAGAGGTGTGTCTCTTCATCATGTATATATAGCTATGATATATACGACTATCCTTGGAGTCATCCACCATCGTAGCTTCCGCTCTTCTTCTCTTCATGGTATCGGAGCCCTGAGGGCTTCAGATCCAGGGACGATGGCGCTGGCCAAGGAGGAGGCTAGCGAGGATGACGATGAGCCACTGGACGTGGCTGAGAGGTGCCAAGATTTGGCACTGTGCTGTACTGAGTGCCAAGATAACGGCACTAGCGAGCTGAGCAAGGCGCTAGGGCGTGATCAAGCAGAGACCAGCCCAGAGGCGCTGTGGCGCGAGGCACTGGCCGAGCAGAGGTGAGCGCTGGGCACCCTGTAGGGTAGAGGCGCGAGACACCAAAAGCTGCAGGCAGAGGTGTGAAGAGATTGGAGTGCTGGGGCGCTGGTGGACTGGACAGAGGTGCTGTCCAGAGGCAAGCAGGCAGAGGCGATGCTGAGTGCTGGGCTGTGAGAGGGCTCCATAGCAGAGGGAGAGAGCCGTTAGGACTCTGGCCACGGAACCATTTGCATCCAGGAGCTGTAAGCGACCATCTGTTTTAGCGAGCATTGAATTTCCTGACACTGGAGTGTTCCGGTTGGCTAGCCAGACGGGAGCTGCTGTGGAAGAGTTGCGAGTGCCAAACATCAGTGCCAGGTAATACTTGTTTGATCCATTGAAGTTGAGGAATGCTAAGCCCAAGTTTTCATCGTCGCTGCGTAGAGATTCTGGCCGGCTAGAAGGGTTATCCTTTGGAAGAGCACTCACCAGGCGATAACTCCCGGATCTGCCATCGCCTTGGAATTCTGGGAGACTGTTGTTCATGAAAATGCGCCATTTATCAGGTATCGTGTACAACTTCCCTTCAGAAGTAACTGTGAGGAGCATTATTAGTTCCAGGAACAACGCCTTAGCAACCTGTGAAACCTTTTGCTTTTGCATTGCTGCCGTTCTGCATTGAGAACACCTGCTTATACGAGACGTAAGTCCTTACTTTCAAGACTTGGAAAAGTCTTGAAGACTAGACTGCAGCCATGGAGACTAGACTTCTGTTCAAGCAAAGACTAATCGAACTTTTGGTAACAGTTGGTACTCGAGACTGGAATAAGTGGAAGAAGTATGAATATGAATGAGTCAAGTGAATGGACCGCTCCCGTTCTATAGATACAAAAATAGCTAGCGCATTCTGCTTCATGGTTCATGGCTATGAAGATTTTTTTGGTCGCTTTCTTTCAGCTGATGACAATTCTCTTTCGTGTGCACGGCAGGAACTACAGTCTATCACACGGCTGGGAAGTAACGAACAACAATCAGCTTCTGGAACTGCAAGGATCACAGTCCAATGCCAGTTATCGGCTGCTCCAAGCAGGTGACAGTCCCCTCCTGAGCCAGAGCGGAAGATTTGGCTTGGCTTTCTTTCGATTCCACAACTCGGCCGAGTTCTACTTTGCTTTGGTTCTTGGCTCCAGCAACAACACGAACTCTGGCGTCTGCGTCTGGGCTGCAAACCGGGACAGTCCTGTGACAGAAAATGCTACCGTTCGTGTGACCGATCAGGGAGCTCTGGAAGTTGCCGATTGGGATGGGAAGGTTGTATGGAGTTCTCCTGGTGGAGTATAACGTTCGACTCTCGACCCACAC